ACTTTAGTCGATGGGGGTGGGGGTGGGGAAGAGGGAACATTAGTCGCTTCTTACGATATGCAGCGGGATACAGCAGGTCGTGTCTGTCCCCAAACCTACACAGGGAACAGAAGAGGGTATTACAGCAATAGACAGGAGACATGAGAGGGAAATGCACGAACGTTCTACTTGCATTTTTAGTGATGGTTCAACAGGTTAGACAGCATCAAAGTAATCATTAAAACACCTTTACAGCAATCTGAATAAATACAGCTGTTCATTATCACGTACCGCATCAATACGCTAATAATTCCCCCTACGATCTGTCACTGTCCTCAAGCAAGTGGAGACATCAGAATAGATAGGTAGCACACCAATACAGACCAGTGGGACCCAACCATAGTACTTCGGGTACTCTGGTGTCCTTCTCTGGGGCTTCCATATTGGCCGTAAGAGCAATAAATGTTCATAGATCCTCTTTTTATAACTGTTATAAAAAATAAAGTTCAATTTTAAAATTCAATAAATAAACCCAGGTCATACGAATTAGACCAGAACAATAACCTAGAGCGAACCAATAGGACCTTATAAGGTGAGCATGCTAAACCAGACCATATGAAGAAACCAGACAATGTTTTAGAGTATGCCTTTACAAAATACATGTACATCTATATAGTTCGCTTAGCTGCCATGGGCGAAAGTCTTTGGTCTTACCTTTCATTATACTCAATATTGTGAAAGGTAAGACCACAAGGCACTCATCGAACATCATCCACACATAATTTGAAGGCACTCCTACACAGGGAACGTTCATACACGAAGCGCTCATGCTTGAAAAGCTTCCTCTCCTTAACCTGTGTACCATTTATGAGTGGGAGGTGTCACAGTATCGTGTCTGACGGGGCATCTTGTCGGATAGGAAACAGTGGTCATTATGTCATTCATAAATGTATTTCAGTTAAAAGTTATGTCGAGTACAAATAATCATTTGTAGTATATCTTAATCTAAACAGCTACTTCAGGGAAAACATAATAACTTCATTCTTTTAAACAACAGTAAAAATCAAGAAACTGAATTACACGCAGTAAGATGTACAAGGAACATTTGTCTTTGTGTTGACAAATAGTATACATATTAGTAGTGGGTATGTATGTAAAGAGCTAGTGAATAGAAATACAATAGACCTTTTTGATGTTAGTAAACCAAACGATACATGACGCATAAATGTCTGATCCCGGTGAATGGTAAGCTTACCAGAGCTATTGTAAATACCGTGACAGTTCGACTTGATGTTAGCTTTAGGCCAGCTTTTAATCTCGGGGTCCAGCATGGGTCAAAACCCGTTTTATAATAAGTAGTCTGCACAATTGTTTTGTACTTTTGCTGCTTTTAATTATGAAATATTCCGAAGTGCCTTAACAACCTTCTTCAGAAATAGCAATGTTATTTTTACGAATATTGCCTAATATCAGCGAGAACACACCTCTTAACGGACCATGTCGGTATTGATTATCTACTGGTGTAAACGATGTGGGCAATCACTTACTATTTCCTCATAGATCGTCAGCTGTGCTGAATGTTGCGAAACATTATCGATATCGATTGTATTGGTAATTCGTATCCTCGCCTAAGATGTCTATTTCGAAATAGACACAACCACTGGCGTGAATTTTTGTTATAGTAATGACCTCGCGTGTAATAGTTATGACCCCGCTACAACATCTATAATATATTGTAGGCGTCATGGAAATACCGGAAGTATTCCACTAAGAGAAAAAGACACAAAGGACCTTACTGATAAAAGTCCCTTTTCTGTTTATTGTTAATAAATATTTGAAAACAAGCTAACGATATTTTAATGTATAGCGGCGCTTTCTCGCATCTTTGATGCCATTGGGTAACTGCGGGTTTTTTTCTGTGATTATAACAAATAAGATTTTAACAATTATATGAACCCCCTAAAGGTGGGAGATATTGCTATATTTTTGTAACTATGCGTCTTTTTTTCTTTATATTGTAGGCGTACTGTTGACACAAATATTTTATGTTTTATTTCTTTAATACTAAAGATGAAAATATTTGAATTATTAAAAGATCTTTCATCAAACACTGGCACTGTTGGTAAATTATCATCAGTAATATACCTAGCGAAAAACCTTTCAGCAACTGTAGTATATACATTTATGAAATCAAATTCACCCAGTATTAACTTCGTTCAACGTCCGAGTATATAACGAGCACATAACTTCATATAGCCGATTTTGTCAATCCCACATCTAATATGTAGACTTAACAAAAACCGGTAAATGATATATCGGTAAACGTTTCCTTTCATGTAATACCGCCTATCCCAAGCTGCCTCGAATCCTCTTGAATGAAAACAAATCTTGTGTAAATCACCTTTAGCGGATGTTTAAGTTTATTAGTAAGAACGCATATCATTGTGAAACAAAACAAAAAAAATACTTTAATAAACATTTTACTTAAAATTTGTTTCGACTACCATCATTATATGTGACTTGTTTATAATATTATATATAAGTATATAGTATGTCCCTTATCTAAAGATCCTTAAAATAGAATAATTTTTCTCTTTGATCGTTTTTCATTCATATCCTTAATACACCTCGACATGCTGGTTACCTCGACATATGGATGTGTAGGGATCTGTCGATATTATGTCAGAACAAACCTCGACATAAAGGGGTGTAGGGATCTGTCGATATTATGTCAGACCATTCCTCGCATATGGGTGTGTAGAAATCTGTTAGTATTATGACAGAACATACCTCGATATATGGATGTGTAGGGATCTGTCGGTATTATATGCGTATATACCTCGACATATGGATGTGTAGGGATCTGTCGATATTATGTCAGAACAAACCTCGACATATGGGTCTGTCGGGATATGTTGATATTATGTCAGAACAAACCCCGACATAAAGGTGTGTAGGGAACTGTCGATATTATGTCTGAACAAACCTCGACATATGAGTGTGAAGGGATCTGTCGATATTATGTCAGAACAAACCTCGACATATGGGTGTGTAGGGATCTGCCGATATTATGTCAGAACAAACCTCGACATAAAGGGGTGTAGGGATCTGTCGATATTATGTCAGACCATACCTCGCCATATGGCTGTGTAGGGATCTGTTGATATTATGTCAGAACAAACCTCGACATAAAGGTGTGTAGGGATCTGTGGATATTATGTCTGAACAAACCTCGACATATGAGTGTGAAGGGATCTGTCGATATTATGTCAGAACAAACCTCGACATATGGGTGTGTCGGGATATGTTGATATTATGTCAGAACAAACCTCGACATAAAGGTGTGTAGGGATCTGTCGATATTATGTCTGAACAAACCTCGACATATGGGTGTGTAGGGATCTGCCGATATTATGTCAGAACAAACCTCGACATATGGGTGTGTAGGGATCTGTCGATATTTTATACGATGTACCTCGACATATGGGTGTGTAAGGATATGCTGATATTATGTCAGAACATACCTCGAGATTTGGGTATGTAGAGATGATCTGTTGTTATTATGGCAGAACATACCTCGACATATGCGTGTTTACATACCTCGACATCTGGATGTGTAGGGAACTGTTAAAATTATCCCAGAATATACCTCGACATATTGGAGCGTTGTTACATACAATTAAACTTGATTTCATATTGATGTGTATGGAAATTTCGGTAATATGATTAACTACTGTTGAAACACAATCCCTTTATAATATGTATTTAAAATGTTTGAGGACTCTTGGTCAATTTCAACTCAATAATCTCAAGATATGTTGGTGCATGTACTACCTACTGATGGTAAACCAGAGCATATTGGAAAGTTTGATGCGCAAAGATCTATAAATACTAGAGAAAATCATAAATTGGTTTTATAGATAATATCAATCTTTACGGGACTCGTATCATTGACTAAAAGTAGCCATTTTATTGCTCATAGATATCCGGATGTAATATTATAGGACTCTTTCATGCTCAGGGGTGTAGGATAGGGAAATTCCACCAGAGGGGTTTTCAAATTCGGTAAAACCCGAGACTTTTTGTGACGTCACGTGAAATGGGGTGTAAGATAGAAATTTTCTACACCTCTTTCTTACCCTGGACAGTTCTATCTTACCCTGGACAGTTCTATCTTACCCACAGGGAAATGAGAGAAATACTAATGTTACCCCGTTAGAAATATCTATGATGTCACGTCTGTAAGTATTTAACAATTTAACATTTTAAATTCAGCATAGTGTGTCCATCGTCATCAACATATATGTATACAGTTAATATTGCACGTGTTGCTAACAAGTTTCAATGAACGATCTAATCACTGATTATATATTTATAACTCCAGTGTCATTCCCATGAAATCCATTGGGTATATCGTATGCTATTTCAGCTATGTTGGGCATGCTCCTTCATGTTACGGGTATTGTTTGGTATCTAGGCATGCATGGCTAGTTTAATATGCTTCACGTTGCAACATTCTGATCGGCATTCGATGATATTGCAAGCTCAAACGAAATACCAGGGACTGTCCCAAACCGGAATTTGGTTACGACATTTGTATTTTTATATTACCGCCTACACGTTTAGCGTAGTATATATAAGCCTATGACTAAAGTAGTAGGATCACTTCACAGAGGCATTATATAGAGCAAGCTACCATCCTTCAGTATATTCTATCTTATAAATATACATCCAATTGCTTACGCAAGACGTTTAATGTTTAAATCATACAGTGCATGTAATTCTGCTGCAATAAGCGCATTATTTTGTAGTAAATATATTTCCGAGAGGTGTAAGCATGAATTTCGAATGGCATTTGTCGACTGTGTTATTTACTCTGATCTCCGGCATGTTGGTGAAGGTAAGAAATCGTATTTTATAACAATTAAAACTAGAACTGTGAAGCAGCTGCCCCTATGGCCTGTACTAACCGGGTATCATATTATTGCAATTAAGAACATAAAATTTCAGGCAGCTGCCCAGGGCGTCTTGTAATATAGTATAAGATTACGTGTAGGCAACGAATTGCTACCGACAGCAAAATCCCTACGCATGAGCACGTGTTTCTAAACTTATAAATGACTAAATGGGTTTTCCCAGTATCTGTATTTGCATAGCTTTACATACCTGATATTTCATTCATAAAACATGACATGTGTGTGACACCCGACACAACTGGTCATTGCGTTCACTCGTCTATGACAGGCTTGTGTTCACCAAATGTGGTCGTATCTGTACAGGTAACGGTGATTAGTACAGGCCACAGGTCAATCCCGGTCATACTGTCTTATTCTATCGATTAAAACTAGTATTCGTATGCGTTATGTTGTCGAATATACATTAAATGTATATTTTGTCATGCGAATTATTTCTTAATTTCCCGCAGCATTTCGCAATATTTAAAAGGTTGTCGCCAAGCCCTTGTCCTATTTTACTGGACCTGATGAATACTTGAAAGCACGCAAGCAAATCTAATATGAATCGAATATGAAAACAAAATGAATCATCATACAAATGGGTAACGTAATGGAGAAATAATGTTTGACGAGATTTAACTCCTCGGGTTTAACGATGATATTGATTGACTATTTTGTTCATAGTGTGTCATTATCCCAATATGTTGATTTCTGTTATAGGTACTGGCCAACCCGATAACTGGTCGCCACGCAGCAATCTCCACGGCAGACAATCCACAAGGTAGGCTACACGTTAGTTAGCTATAGACAGGGGTGACACTATCAATATGTCAGTATCACATGTTTTCTGCGTATTTCCGACAATTCTTTACAACTTGAATATTGTCAAGTCGTTTGGTTTTTTTTGCTTTTATCAAAGTAATTAAAAAAATCAATTAATACCAAAGTAGAATCAAATAAAACATAAGAGCCGGAATGATAAAAGGTACCTGACTTCACAAAAGAATACACATGAAATGTGTGAATATGTGAATAAACATTATGCACTTCGTAGATAAGAAGACCATAACCAAATATAGCATATTCATTGTCAAATAGTATCAGAAAAACAGTTTCGTACTTTGCTGAAATCAATTGTCGTCATGGAAAGATATAAATAGAATCTATTCCCAGGCATTGGACGGTAACTTTGAATATGTATATTAATTTTATCTTTTGTTCTCCAGAAGATCGACATGGGCATGAGGACATAACTCCAAGTGTTTTCCTCGAGCTGGACCTGGTTGAAAGCACAGGTCAGTGACAATTTGAAGTATATCTCAAAAAATTTCAATTCTTGTTATTTCCTAACACGAAATGATCAAGTATACACATATCAAGGCTGTCAGGGTTAGAAAAAATTGTTCGTGCTCGATCAAAAGTTTTCTCTGTGATTTTAACATTTATAATTCATTCATTCGTTTAATTCACTGTTTTCTTTCCTCAAATGCAAAAGTACAACCTCTTCGACCTTCCTCGGTAGATTCTTTTATCATATATATTATCTAGGAAATCTACTTATAAAAGATTCGTCACAAATACTATCACAAATTATCTACTTCACCTGCCGTATTGTTTAGTAAATCAAGGTAAAACAGATTCTATAGTCAGAAATACTATTTGGTAGATCTTTAGTCATAACGTATTTTATCACAATAGAATATATAATTTAGTACATCTCGAAACAATATAGTATATATCTCAAATGTTATCCCACCTACAATTTGATCAGGAAGTTCTATTATAAGACAAATAAGTTAAGACACATTTAAAATATCTTGAATGAGGCTAGATAATGATGATTTTGTATTAAGAGAACTGAGCGTTACCATGTTTGGTGTATTACAGAGGGACACTTGGTGTGGACAAACACTAGTCACGACCACTACATTAGGGGAAACATTGAACTCACACATAACGGACGAATAAAGATACACAAAACAGGATACTACTCCATCTTCTCCGCCATTTTGTTCGACACCTACTCCGCCAACATGCGCCCTCACAGGCCAGTGGTTGCCTACCATGGAATCAAACTATACAGGTTTGGTACACAGAAGACGCTTATATTCAACAAGACGACTCTAGGCCGTGCCGTGGTGTTACCGAGTCATACAGGACCGCTGTATCACCGGCTTGAGGCTGGGGACGAGATCAAGATAGTGGTCAACAATATAATCCTGATATATGACTCAGAATCCAACTTCCTCAACATCGTCTACATGTTTGACCACTAAAGAGTATCTGTAGAATGACCACATACATTGGTACATTTGTCAGTTCATCCTGGAAATTCCGGGGATTACATTCATTTACCTTCTCTGCAAACCTGGAATACTTCATGACAAAATCGAAGGCACGCGGTTACTTTATCTAATTGATTTAAAATATGCACTAATTGCCAGGCTCATACCTGTCCTTTGAATATTACAAACGAGCGACACCCGACTTAGTATATTTGTATACATGCAAGTATATTTGTAGCCTTTGATTTTGTCAGTTCATATTCCAGGGGTGCAGAGAACGAACGTTAGCGTAACCTCTGGAATTTCGAAGGTGTGAGCAGCAAGGAGTATGAGAAACCTTCAACATGTTTGTTATCCAAACATTAATATTCAACGTTAAATAACACGTGCTTAATGTTTTCATTAATTGTTTATGGTATCGTCCGTTTAAATATCATTGGTGCTTTTTGTGATACCTTGGGGTAACACACAAATATGTCAAGGCTATAAATAAATATTTCTAGAGAACACACACACGTGTCAGGGCTATAAATCATTACTGTCAGAATTACACGTGTGTCAGGTCTATAACCAAGATAGAAGTATATTATTTATAATATTTTTTGTTGATTTAAGTTCAGCTTCAGTCGTGAAGTGATGCATTTTGTAGATATACATATTTTTATCATGTTATTTAGATTTATACATTGTTATCAGAAGTATTGTTATAATTGAAAGAAAGAATGATGAATGCAATTTCGTATCAATCCATTTAAAATGGACAGTAGCCTTAATTCAAAATTACTTATGCATTTTTAGCTTATTTGTTATTGTTGTTCCTGTGTATAGTTGTTTTTATCAAAGTTGGATAAATGTGCTTCTGATATATTTTTGTATTTTAATGTGTTACATGTTGTTGTAATTTTGTTGAAATTTAATAAAGAAATGAGACTTGTCTATCCTTTCAATGGTGTTTTTTTCCAAAAATTTACTTAAAGTACTCAAGTAAAATCCCCCCGGATATGGAGTGATACCATAAAAACATCTCGACTATTGAGGCAAATAGAAAGTGTGTTTAATGTTCCCGACCGACAATTCTAAAAGTATGCCGACCGAATTAATTTTGGAAGTGTTCTACCGTACTTGTTTGCATTTGAATCACATTCGCTCTCAACACGGCTGCAGCTCCGTATTAGCATTGATCTGGTAGGGTTAGAGACCATATCACTGTAGTTTCTGGTAGGGTTAGAGACCATATCACTGTAGTTTCTGGTAGGGTTAGAGACCATATCACTGATGGTTAAGGGCTTAGTTATTAGAATCTGTACAATTAGAAGCTGCAAGAATTATCACAGGCCTAAGAAAAGGTACATCACAACAAACTCTATATAAAGAACTAGGCTGGGAATCTCTGTCTGATCGAAGGATAAATCATACTAACAATGTATCACCCACATACCTCCATGACATAACTGATCCTCTTATTCATAACCAAGAATATGATAGGTATGCTCCAAGAAATGTGTGAATGTTTAACCCGCCACTGTGTCGTACAGAATCCAATGATACAAGTGTCTTCCCAGTAATGTACAACAAGTTCAATGGACTTGAAAATGACATAGTACATTCCTCTACTCTAAATAAATTTAAGGCCAAGGTGTATAATAAAATATGTTTCAATAATGATATCTCGGATGTATTTTAAAATTGTGAAAGTAGGAAGGGTAATATAATCTTATGTCAACTTTTTTATGTTTGTCGGATTAATCTTGATACTAAAATCCTTTTCAATGGAAGCACTATGTTAAACAATACAGAAAATAAACATATTCTTGATAGTGTTCTTAAATATATAAACAACACAAAAAGACTCGTTTAATTAATTGAAATAATCTATAAATGTTGTTTTATATATATATCATTGATGAAAAAGATACGGTCCTCAAACCATTATGTGATTCACTTGATTGTTATATATACATTGATGTTTATACAATACACCTAAAGCTTTGTGTGTTGTTACACCTAAAGCGTTGTGCGTTGTTACACCTAAACCTTTGTGTGTTGTTACACCTAAAACAGTATGTGTTGTTACACCTAAAGCTTTGTGTGTTGTTACACCGAAAGCTTTGTGCGTTGTTACACCTAAAGCGTTGTGTGTTGTTACACCTAAAGCTGTGTGTGTTGTTATACCTAAAGCTGTGTGTGTTGTTACACCTAGAGCTTTGTGCGTTGTTACACCTAAAGCTTTGTGTGTTGTTACACCTAAAGCATTATGTGTTGTTACACCTAAAGCTTTGTGTGTTGTTACACCGAAAGCTTTGTGCGTTGTTACACCTAAAGCACTGTGTGTTGTTACACCTAAAGCGTTGTGTGTTGTTACACCTAAAGTTGTGTGTGTTGTTACACCTAAAGCATTGTGTGTTGTTACACCTAAAGCTTTTTGCGTTGTTACACATAAAGCGTTGCGTTGTTACACCTAAAGCTTTGTGTGTTGTTCCACCTAAAGCATTATGTGTTGTTACACCTAAAGCTTTGTGTGTTGTAACACCTAAAGCGTTGTGCGTTGTTACACCTAAAGCTGTGTGTGTTGTTACACCTAAAGCTTTGTGCGTTGTTAAACCTAAAGCTTTGTGTGCTGTTACACCTAAAGCTTTGTGTGTTGTTACACCGAAAGCTCTGTGCGTTGTTACACCTAAAGCACTGTGTGTTGCTACACCTAAAGCGTTGTGTGTTGTTACACCTAAAGCATTGTGTATTGTTACACCTAAAGCTTTGTGCGTTGTTACACCTAAAGCGTTGTGTGTTGTTACACCTAAAGCTGTGTGTGTTGTTACACCTAAAGCTTCGTGCGATGTTACACCTAAAGCTTTGTGTGTAGTTACACCTAAAGCGTTGTGCGTTGTTACACCTAAAGCTGTGTGTGTTGTTGCACCTAAAGCTTTGTGCGTTGTTACACCTAAACACCTAAAGCGTTGTGCGTTGTTACACCTAAAGCTGTGTGTGTTGTTGCACCTAAAGCTTTGTGCGTTGTTACACCTAAAGCGTTGTGTGTTGTTACAACTAAAGCTGTGTGTGTTACACCTAAAGCGTTATGTGTTGTTACACCTAAAGCTTTGTGTGTTGTAACACCTAAAGCGTTGTGCGTTGTTACACCTAAAGCTGTGTGTGTTGTTACACCTAAAGCTTCGTGCGATGTTACACCTAAAGCTTTGTGTGTAGTTACACCTAAAGCGTTGTGCGTTGTTACACCTAAAGCTGTGTGTGTTGTTACACCTAAAGCTTTTTGCGTTGTTACACATAAAGCGTTGCGTTGTTACACCTAAAGCTTTGTGTGTTGTTGCACCTAAAGCTTTGTGTGTTGTTACACCGAAAGCTCTGTGCGTTGTTACACCTAAAGCACTGTGTGTTGCTACACCTAAAGCGTTGTGTGTTGTTACACCTAAAGCTGTGTGTGTTGTTACACCTAAAGCTTTGTGCGTTGTTACACCTAAAGCTTTGTGTGCTGTTACACCTAAAGCTTTGTGTGTTGTTACACCTAAAGCGTTGTGTGTTGTTACAACTAAAGCTGTGTGTGTTACACCTAAAGCGTTGTGTGCTGTTACACCTAAAGCTTTGTGTGTTGTTACAACTAAAGCTTTGTGTGTTGTTACACCTAAAGCTTTGTGTGTTATTACACCGAAAGCTTTGTGCGTTGTTACACCTAAAGCATTGTGTGTTGTTACACCTAAAGCTTTGTGTGTTGTAACACCTAAAGCGTTGTGTGTTGTTACACCTAAAGCTTTGTGTGTTATTACACCGAAAGCTTTGTGCGTTGTTACACCTAAAGCATTGTGTGTTGTTACACCTAAAGCTTTGTGCGTTGTTAAACCTAAAGCTTTGTGTGTTGTTACACCTAAAGCTTTGTGCGTTGTTACACCTAAAGCACTGTGTGTTGCTACACCTAAAGCGTTGTGTGTTGTTACACCTAAAGTTGTGTGTGTTGTTACACCTAAAGCATTGTGTGTTGTTACACCTAAAGCGTTTTGTGCTGTTTCACCTAAAGCTTTGTGTGTTGTTACACCTAAAGCTTTGTGTGTTATTACACCTAAAGCGTTGTGTGTTGTTACACCTAAAACTTTGTGCGTTGTTACACATAAAGCGTTGCGTTGTTACACCTAAAGCTTTGTGTGTTGTTACACCTAAAGCTTTGTGTGTTATTACACCTAAAGCGTTGTGTGTTGTTACACCTAAAGCTTTGTGTGTTGTAACACCTAAAGCGTTGTGTGTTGTTACACCTAAAGCATTGTGTGTTGTTATAACTAAAGGTTTGTGTGTTGTTACACCTAAAGCTTTGTGCGTTGTTACACCTTAAGCTTTGAGCGTTGTTACACCTAAAGCTTTGAGCGTTGTTACACCTAAAGAGTTGTGTGTTGTTACACCTAAAGCTTTGAGCGTTGTTACACCTAAAGCGTTGTGCGTTGTTACAGATGATAAAGATATCAATTAAATATGTATATATAAATGAAACATACCTGGATTTATCTCCCACATACCGTAGACTGTGAATTTATCTCCCTCATACTATAGACTGGGGATGGATCCCCCCAATACCGTAGAATGAGGATTTATCTCCCACATACCATAGACTGAGGATGTATCTCCCCCATGCCATAGACTGAGGATTTATCTCCTTCATACCGTAGACTGAGGATGTATCTCCCCCATGCCATAGACTGAGGATTTATCTCCCCCATACCGTAGACTGTGAATTTATCTCCCCCATACCATAGACTGTAAATTTATCTCCCTCATACTATAGACTGGGGATTGATCACCCCAATACCGTAGAATGAGGATTTATCTCCCCCATACCATAGACTGAGGATTTATCTCCCCCATACCGCAGACTGTGAATTTATTTCCCCCATACCAGAGTTTGTGAATTTATCTCCTCCATACCGTAGACTGGGGATTTATCTCCCCCATACCGTAGAGGGATTGATCACCCCAATTCCGTAGAATGAGGATTTATCTCTCCCATACCATAGACTGTGAATTTATTTCCCCCATACCAGAGTTTGTGAATTTATCTCCCTCATACTACAGACTGGGGATTGATCACCCGAATACCGTAGAATGAGGATTAATCTCCCCCATACCCTAGACTGAGGATTTAGCTCCTTAATACCGTAGACTGAGGATGTATCTC